CAGCGCCATCTGTTCAAGAATAAAGTTCAACGTAAATATATACTATTTAAATACTAATAAAGTGGGGGTATATATGCTTTCATGATAAACGTGACTCAATATAACATTGCGACTACAGTAAAAAAGCTTTTAATGTTCTAAAAACACAGATTTATGAGCAGTATTGGATTTGAAGATGTTAGAAACACACTCATTGTTGTCATGTGGTGAATTTGGCCAATCGTGAAACAGCTGTGTCGTCATCAGCACTCCTGCAATAGCTCTGAAACAGCTGCGCCAGCTGAGTCAGCCGGCTGCTCTCCAAACGATATCGCGGTACTTTGATGCCACACGTGACAGTGACGTGGCGTCGGCGCCGGTTCAAGTCGGACAAAATTTCTGACCGCCATGCACTGCTTCAAGTCCGCCGATCGGTTTGCGCGGCGCCGCATGAAGTCGAACGCACCTATTTTGCTTGCATGATTGAGAAACACCCTGCAGTTTGAAAACACCCACAAATTCAGAAACGCCCACTTTTGCTCTGGAGAGACCTCAGTCTCCCGGCACACGTTGTAGCCTGTATCCTTTCATATAAAAGCGCGAAACAAACTATGTGCATGCAATGTCGTGGTCAGTTAAGTAATGAAGTTACCAAAAAGGCGATTAAAGCTGCCTTAAAACTGTGCATGCAAGTAATTGATGTGAGTCACATTTAAGAACATGTCTCTGAAATGGTTTTCAAAACTGTCCTGGAGCAGCCCAGCACTGTCTGTCTCACTCATCTAACACACCCGATTTAACTCATCAGCGCATTAATAGAGACTTTAAGTCCTGAAGTGGGTCAGAAAAGGTAAAAAGAGTTGAGAGGAAATATGCGTGTCAGATCCGTGTCAAGTTCAGCAGTGGATATGTTGCTTAATGAGCAGGTCATATGTTTTTTTGTTTTTTTTTAAGTGTCCTAATATTGTGCTGGAGTCCCCTACAACAGGTTTAAATGCATCTAAGGTCAGAAAACATTGTAATTTTCCCAGAATATACATTTAGACAGAGTCATTTGTCCATAATTTCGAAATGGTTCGTTCAATTCAGTTCTGAGCAAAATGTCTGTAAACCCTCCCTTCCATAAGCCTACTCTGCTCTGATTGGTCAGCTGGCCAAGCCTGTTGTGATTGGCAGTGGCGGCTCGTGGGTTTTAAAATAGAGGAGGCACACTAATTGTATTGGTCTGGGGATCCCTGACGATTATTATTATTATTTGCTTAACCACTTTAAAATGACTTTTTGGTTGCTTTTAGTCAGAAAACGAAAAAGAAATCAACACACATACAGCAAGATAATATAACTTCACTTACCTGGTCTATCACTTGAAGCAAACATCCATCCCTTCTTAAAAGTCTGTGTTAAAAGAGCCGACTGCTGTAACGTTAGCCTATATCCAGCTTAGGCGTGTTCTCACTTTATTTTTAATTTGTATATATACTGTTTGAATGACAGTTTGGTAAATCTGTTGGGGATCAAATATTCAATATCGCTACTCATCACAAGTACTTGGTACATTATCAGCGCAGTGGGAGACGTTCAAACTAATATCACGTAAGTTACGTCTCTATGATGATTGGTTGATATTCCAGAAGGGAGGCGAGGTTTCTTTTCTCAACACTCCTCAGCGCTGAAAGTGAACACTCGATGGTGATTGGCTCATTTTTTTTCACCAACGGAGGCACGAGAGCTCAGCTCTCCCCCGGCCTCCCCCTACCCTTCTCTATCACCTAGCGGTTGTAATTACATCAGCAGATTCGGCACATTCGCCATAGAAAAGCGGCACTTTCCAACTTCATTAACAAGTTATGGTATTACAGCTGTGAAATTACAAACAAAAATACACATTCTGAGACATGAACTGAAATGAACTGTGAATTTTATTAACATTAAATCGTCCTCCTCCCATTTTCACCTCAACATTTTGGGGAAGCTGTGTCTCCCCTGCCTCCCCCGACGAGCCGCCACTGGTGATTGGCACAAAGAGGAGTGCTTGAG